ACGCACGGCGTTAGTTGACTGGAAATAGTCAAAATTTGAAAATATCCCTTTTTCAAATCCAAAAAATTGTCGAAAATTTGTTAGAACATTCGAAGAAATGAGTCCGAAACTAACATTTGCAGACCCAAAACCATAACAAACGATTTTTAGTTAAATTTAAAAAATTGTCAAAAATTGACTGAAATTTTCAAAAATTTTGCTTTCGAAAAAGTTGCCAAAATATTCTAGAACATAGACTTCGTCGTATTAATTCTAAAAATGTAGCAAGATTTTAAAATTTTTGGGTTTGAAAATAAATGTTTTTTTAAATACAAAATTAATAAATCTTTGTTGAAGATTAGACTGTCTAAAAAACATTTTATCAGTAATTTTGACGAATTTGTTTCATTAATCAAGCTTTGTGTACAATCCAGTAGTTATACAGTGGGGCTTCTAGCCCACTTTTTGGCTGGACAATTTGAAATCCTTATTTCTGCGCATGCGTTCTTGGGTTATAGGCCACTTGGACGGAAAATTTAGGCCGCGGTTTACCTCGGCCAAGATCGACTCACTCGACAATTATATTGTTACCTTGATTGGTGAATAAAATTGGCGTGGGTAAAACTCAACAATTAATTTCTTAATAACTCGAATTTACACGACTGACTATTACAGCGATTATGTATAAAATAATTCTGGCACAACTTCACTGGGTTTTCTCGACACTCGTTGGACTCGACTCCACTGATTAATCCTCGTTCCCGACGGTGGCCTCTATTTAAACCGATACTTCCTTCTAGATGTGTGATCGGGGTCTTTCTGGAATTTACCCATCATAGACACACATAAGAGAAAAACCTATAGGCGGCGTATGAGTTTATTTGGTAACAATATGATAAAACGCGAATATGCGCGAAACACGACTGTCGATCGTACCCGGAGTTAGTCGACTTTGACTAAACTGAGTCGGAAAAATACGATCATGGCCTAACTGAGCCCAAATTCAAATTTTCATTCCAGAATCCGGCGCACAGTTTAAAATTTTTCGGTCAAAGTGTGAGCTAGAAACCCCACTATATAACTAACTATTTCCATTCTCAATTTTAGACATTCAAAAACCGAATATTTTACAGTACTTAAGTGTCTGTTAGTATTGTTTAACCACTCAAAAACCACATTCACTTGAAAAATAACTTAGTGTTAATTAACGGTTCTAAATTTCAGATTTCCGTCTTTTCGAATAACTGATACACTTAGTTATTAGAGTGGAACGGTTAAACTAGGACACCTGGTATAACAAAATTGTTTAAATTTTTTTGTAATAAACTAATTTGGACTTGTTGGGAACAGAATTTAACATAATTTTACGAATTAACTTTGTCCAAAAACTTAATAATGTCAGGTCAAAAAGTGTGTTAAAATAGTCCTTAACTATAATTTTGTTTGCACTTTCATGAAACACTTATACCCATTAAAAATTAATGACATCATCTCGAATTTATCTATGTAGTTAAATTTCGAAAATTGTCCATAAATTGGCCGAAATCTTCACAGGGGGTTTTCGCAAAATTTTGTTTTTGAAAAAATCAGCAAAAATTTGCAGAAATTCTAGAATAAAGATTTCGTCGTGCTGTCTTCCAAAAAGGTAGTGTGTGTATACTTCCGGTACAAGATTTTAAAATATCCCGTTAGAAAATTTTTTTTCTTTATATTTTTATTTTGGAAAGATGGTAGGAGCCATCGAAAATCGACCAGAAATGATTTTGTCTTGTGAAAAGAAAATTTTCCGCATGTTAAGAATCTCAAGTCGTTTTGCCACAAATTTTCAAATAACCCAAAACGAAATAGTTTCCAACAATTTTCCAAAACAATCTTTAACTAAGGCGCTAGCCGGCCGGAAAATGATGCTATCATAATAAATTTTTCCAAATTCCAAATCTATATCGACATATATCTTCAACGATTCGAAAGGAACGAGGAAATGTGTGCCATATATTTTCCTGAAAATCTATAAATACGCCTTTCGTAGACTAGAAACCCTTTTATTTTGTGAGGTTTTTCCGTAGATCATTATGCATTGAATGTTATTTCTGCTATAACTCTTTGAATTATCGAAAAAAACGAGGACCTTTTTTCCCAAAATTTTCCGAGGAATTTTCAATTCTGATTCCATCGTATAGAAAAAGAAGAATTTCAAGTCGTTATTGCCACAGATTTTCAAATAACCAAATGAGGAAATATTTTCCAACAATTTTCCGGAAAATCTTCGACTATAACTTTAGTCGACCAGAATTTATGCTATCATATAGAAAATTCTTTGCAGGTTAAGACTTCCAAGTCGCTGTTGTCATATATCGTCAAATATTCGAGAAATGCAAGGAAGAAGAATTTTCGCAGAATTTTCCGGAAAATCTTTAAATATGCCCATACAGAGAATTTTCCATAAGTAACAAATTACATGTTATTTTTACTAGAATTCTTCAAATAGTAGAGTAAAACGAGGAAATATTTTGCAAAAGTTTTCTCAAATATGGCTCGAATCAATGGAAAATTAACATTAAAATTATGTGATATCTGTCATAGATCTTTAACTAAAGAAAATGGAGGAAATTTTAATGAAAAATTTTACGGAAGATACATAGATAGGGCTCTAGTTGACCGAAAAACTGTGCCATCCTGTTTGTTTATAGAGAATTTTCCGTAGGTTACGTTACTACTACAACTCATCCAATTACTCGAAAACGACAAAAGATTTTCCAAGAATTTTACGTTATTATGGAAATAATTTTCCATTAAAAATGAATTTCGTATCATTTTTGCAATAATTTTTTAAATACTAGAGAAATATCAGGAAAATATTCCCTCGGTTTGGATGCTATATTCTATAGATACTTCTGATAGGGTTTCTAGATATGTTACCTCTCCTATAATCAAGACACCACCTCCACTTTACACTTTCTGTGGACCCTAGACACTGTAGGGCTTCTAGGCATTCTAGATTTTCTCTTCTCGGAATGGTCTGTCCATTTGTAGAGTCTGCAGATACTCTAAACTCTAAACTAAAAGAGTCCAGATTTTCAAGATTTTCTAAAGTTTCTAAGTGCTCTATATTTTCAATGATCTAGAAGCCTTCCAATTTCCAAAGACTCTCCAAATTCTTTCTAGATTCTCCAATCCCTAATTTGCAAAGTATAGACTCTAGGTCTGATAGGGTTTCCAGATTTCCTATCTTGTGAGGAGTAACCTACGACTTTGTACTTTCTGTGGGGTCTATACACTCTAGGGCCTCTAGGCATTGTAGATTACCACTTCTAGGTAGGCTATCTGCATTTTGTAGGTTCTCTAGTCTTTCTAAATTCTTTACCTTCTATACCTTAAACCAAAAGATTCTAGATCTTCTAGATTTTCTAAAGTTTCTATGTGCTCTACATTTTCTTGATTGATCTAGAAGCCTTCTATGTTTCGTAGACACTCTAAATTCTCTTTAGATTCTCCAGCCCTTAAATTGCTAACTATAGATTCTAGACTTGCTAGAGTTTATAAATTTTGTGGGTTTTCTAGCTACTATGAAATTTTTCAAATTTTTAAAATTCAGATAACTTAAATTGTCTACATTCTCTCGGTTTTGAAACAATATTCTATAGATGCTTCAAGCTCTACACGTTTGATAGGTTTTCTAGATATCCTACCTTGTCTATCATCAGGAGTATCCTCGACTTTATACTTTCTGTAGACTCTATACATTCTAGGATTTCTAGATATTCTAGATTCTCACTTCTAGGTAGGTTTTCTCCATTTTAGATTTTCTAGAAACTCTCTAAGCTCTTTACGCTCTAAATTCCAAAATTTCCAGAAAATCAAAAATATGGCTTTAGTCGACCGGAAAATTGTACTATCGCATCTACAGAGAATTTCTCTGTGGATCAGGAATTTGAGGTCATTGCCGATACAATTGCTCACATTATCGAGGAAAACGAGGGAAGATTTTCCAAAAATTTTCCTTAGAATCTTCAAATATGATTCCAGTTGACCGAAAAATGCTGCTATAGGATAGAAAATTTTCCGCAAACTGATAATAGCAATTACCATTTCCATGTTTTAAATAACCGAAATTAAAAATCAATTTCATGTCATTTCTGACATAATTAAAAAATTGTCGAAAATTTTGGTTTTTGAATAAGTTGCCAAAAAATTCCCAAAAAATTCTGCGATATCGATTTAGTCCCGCTTATTCAAAAAACATGGCGTGTTTATGCGCCCATTGCAAGATTTTAAAACGATCGATTTGAAAATAATCTTTTTAAAATCCAAAAATTTAAAAAATCATTGTTGAAGGAGACAAAAACGATTAAAAAAATACGGATGAAGTATTTTTTTCTCTAAAAACTAACTGTTAAATGAATGAGAGGAACTCTAGGCTAACAAGCAAACTACGTAAAAAATTTAAATTTTCTTATTCAAATTTTCGTCTGGGTTTCTAGCTTTGGTACACCCATGGAATCGACGTCTCGATTAAAAATACAATTTAAATTTAAAGTATTGTTTCTGTCTCTAGCTGAATAATCTTAATTCGCTTCTGCACAAACCGTTAGATGCCGCTTTTTTACTTTTTAAAATTTAAATATCGTTTTCTCTAGCACTCCTCCAGCGCACTGTTTTAAGTTAATAGAGCTATAATTTTTGTAAAAATGACTCTTTTTAGGACGATTGCGTTCCATAAATTCCCCCAACTTTAGCTTTTTCAACACTAGACATATTTCCCCGCACAAAAACTAGTAGTAACTCTCGCTATATCGCCACGGATGACTAATTTCCCCATTTAACCCAAGAAATCCCGACGTCCTGCAGACAAATGGTTTTCGGATTCAAATTCTCCGAGTGGAATTTTAAAAAAACGCCGGCGATATGCTTACTAGAACCCTTGTCGACGATCGTAATAATTAGAAACAGGATGTTTGATCAGTGTAGCATCCTCTGGGAGCGTGTCTCGATTGAAATTAAGCTGTCGGATTTTGTTACAGGGTTGGACGACCAGCCGGATTCGTTGTTCCAGGAAGAGGAGGACGGTTCCGGGGAACGTGCAAAAACCGAACTTATCTTCGTAGCTTTTTTAGTCGCGCTGCCTTTGGTCCTACAATAATAAATCTTACTCATGTTGTGCTGTGTACAAGAGAAATCTCAAGATTAACGCTGAAACAAGTTGTGTTGTTCAGACGATGAATTTCTCTTCCTTAACTATTTTTTATATGCTTCCTTCGCTACAAGTGGTTTTAGTGATATGGTCCGTTCGAAGCATATAGTGATTGGAATTTTGGTTTTCGTATCGACAGGTACTCGGGTCAATGTTTGCGCCGTTTCCACGATTACTGCTTATGTACAGCTCGTTCATGAATTATATGCTTCTGAAATGGACGCGGCGGCGGGTTTATATAGCGGTTTATGACTGACGATAACTGTATTCTTTGTGGGTAATTTGTTAGTAATTTAAGCAATAGCGCATAATTTAGAGTATAAAATTATTGGCAGTATGTATAATAATAGGTCGTATGTGGATGTTGTACAGCCAGGGCCGCATACATATGGATTACAGCGACATGCAACTTCTTAGACTAGCTAAATTTATGCACATACTGATGTCATTCACGAACGAAACGGATTTTGAAAGGGACCGATCATTTTAAACTTAGGGGTGTCTGCAAACCGCTCTCTGAAAACTGAAACTGATGTGCGTGGGCGGACGATCGTTCGAAATCTGTTTTATTTTTCAAAGACCACATTGTTTCAACGCAGGCCAAATTATTTTTATTTATATAACACATATCAAAACTGATTATTTTGCAAAATGTCAGCAAATATTTTTTCTTTGACATTTACACACTTCACATTTTTACAACAGAGCAAAATCACCCGAAGCTTGAATTGGATTTTGAGATATTACAGACTTGTTAAACATTTTGCTGGGTCAGTTTTAAATTGGAATACCGGTAGTTCGAACAATGTTTCTTTGAACAATTGTTCCTGGAACAATAACCGGTTGCGAACAATCGTCCCCAGATGGATGTGCGTGCTCTCGCAAGCTTCATTCCCGATTCCGCTGTGTATGTTTGCAGTTGTCTTACAATCAAAACGAAATTAGTATGCAGTATTCAGGGATGTCAAACTTGGTCGCTAAACATATCCCTACCAATCAAAGTCAAATATCGAGGTTTCTTCCTGTCTAGTTTATTCTCTTTGTGTATAAATAATGAGTAGGTGACTAGCCGTATATCATTCCATTTTGTATTGTGAAAAAATCAAGAAACTTGCTAAGAAAATAAAAATAGTTTTCTAAAAGCTCGTTTCATTTCGGCCCAATTTATATTCCACCCCGCCGTTCCTCGTTTCAATTTATCGATAATCTCGCCCCGGTTTGATTGTTGTAGCGTCAATTTTAATGGACCGCACAATAAACCGATTTATATGTATAGGTTTAAAAGACAGGATAAATTTCATTAGCACTTCCGTAAATGCAGCACTTAAAATCCTTGGCACGTGTATTCGAGGGAAGATAACGATTTGGCGAGGATCCCCCAGCAATATCGGTAAAAGTTCTTGTTTTATTTGAAGTCGACTGTTGATCGTGTTGAACAGCCAAAACGTCGTTGTAATTATAAAAGAACACAAAGCCACGAACGCAGTCGACTTTTGCCTTCTACGTCACAAAAGGCATTATCGCAATGAGGTGTTGGAGTGTTATCAAAACCGTGCAAGTTGTGTAGTTTCCGGGCGGTCTCGTTAAAATTTACGCAGACAGCGTCTTTATCTCGCATCGTTATTTAAAATTGTGCTGAAGAACACACGATAAATGGAAGTCATGGAGCCTCCACTCATGACTTGTGACAAAACGCTAACGAAATATTGCCGTATAGACGGATCGGGTTGCTCAGAACGGCGTCAGAGAGAGAGAGAGGGTTATAAGCTGTGTAATTATGGCTCTTTAACAACTCTTGAAGAATAATAAAGGATATCAAGATAGAAAGGTAAGTTTGTCAAACAATTTGTGCTAGAAGCGAGGGTGGAAACTACGGGAACAGGACGCCGCTGTAATAAATGTTTCATGCGGTGTATTTCAATCTATTTAAATTTTAACAAGCCCATTAGCTATTGTTAGTAAATTCTTAAACAACTAGTTGTTAAAATTAGTAAAGCTTGCTTTTACGTTGTGTGATCATGATACTGTTACAAAACATTAATTTTTTTAAAATTTCATGAAAATGCACTACTGCTACAAAACATGAAACAACAATATTTAAACTAACGTGTATTTTTTTTGTATACTAATAAAACTTTTCCAACAATGTTGCTCTAAATTACATTAACAGGACTGATGGATTTACTCGTGGAAGATAAACACAACGTTTTACTCAACAATAATAATAAGATTAAAAAAATGTAATTGACAGATGACAGTAAATTACGGAGGTAGACTGTTTCTTTTGTTGTCTCGCTTAAAGCCATATACTCCGCTTCGGTACTCGACAAGGCTACACTGTTCTGCTTCTTTGATTCCCAGGTTACAGCAGCACCTGCGAACTTGAATACAAATCCTGGATCTTCTGTCTTCTGATAAACCAAAATCGTGATACGTTGTCTGTCTCAAATATCTGATAATCCGCTTGTGAGTGAGCTTTGGCTGGATTAGTGGTGTACTGGCTCAGAAAATAAACTGAATAAGCAATGTCAAGACGCGTAGAGACTGCTAAATACATCAAATAGCCTATAAGGGACTGATATGGGGTGGGATTTTGTTTCTCGATCGAAGTGATAAATTATCACTTGCGATAAATGTCATTGCGTAGCTTTTAAATGCAAAGTTTGCATTTATTCTTTGCATATAACCTTATTAAATACTCAAAAGTTTACAATTACCTTAATTTTAAGAACTTATAACTCAGAATTACGATTTTGAACTTCTATTTTGACATAAATTTCGAGGTTGTGTCTCCAAAGTTTATCACTTCACTCAGAGCTATCGAGAAAATATCACTCCATGAAGACTTGATTTTATGACAGAATCGAAAAATGTGACAGAAATGTCTCACCAACTCAGCCTCTCAACCAATCAGCAAACGAGATTTTATCACTATCGAGTTTTTTCGATCGAGAAACAAAGTGATATCCTTTTCATCTCAGAAATTTCTTCTTTAGTAATTGGCTGCATTTTCTTGCTCAGTTTAATAATATTATCTATCGGGGTCGTTACTGGTTTTGAGTTTTCCATCCCAAAGCGAACTAAAACATCTTCAATATATTTTCTTTGACTCATAGAAATCGTCTTTGTGGAGGGATTTTGTTTGCACTCTATTATTCCATTCCAAGACAATAATGAAGATTACCCAAATCTTCAATCTTGTATTTCTAACAATGGCAGATTCTTAGATTTGGTTCTGTCTAACCAGCAATGTGTGGTAGACAAATTTGAAGATTTACATCATCCCTCCCTCTTAATTACTTTAAATTATCATTCGTCTAGTACCTGCTAGGATAAGACTGTTTTTGGCAAATGAAATGAGATCCTAGCTAGTAGCTGCTAAAATCAGTTTTATCTTAGCAGCTACTAACCCCAGCCACCCACCCACCCTCTCTTTTCTTACAAGGTATCTCATTGGCCAAGATCGGTCTTATTTTAGCAGGTACTAGCCCCGCCCACCCACCCACTCTTTTTTTAGGGGATATGTCATTTGCAAAATTCAGTCTTATCCTACTGAAATGTATATTTAAATTTTCGGTTAAAAAAAAACTTTATTTTCAAAATCTAATATTTTTAAATCTTGCATCGGGAGCATAAACACGCAATTTTTGGAATCAGCACCACGAAATCTATTACCCAGATTTTTTGAAATTTTTTTTGGCAACTTTTTCAATAGTACAATTTTTCAAAAAAATTTCGGCAAATTTTCGAGATTTAATTAAAGACATTTTCTTATAGATTTCGACCTCAAGAAGTTATTTCGGTCTCATTTCTTTCCAATTTTTCAGAATCGCTGATTGAAATATTTAAATTTGTGGATTTAAAAAAAACTTTTATTTTCAACCCAAATATTTTTAAATGTTCTACCGGGAGCATAAATGAGTTATCTTTTTCAAATCAGCACGATGACATTAATTTGTGTCCCAAAGTGAATTTTTTGAAATTAAACATTTTCTTACAGAGTTCGACCTCCAGACGTTAGTTTCAAACTCATTTCTTCGATAAGTCCTATCATTTTTGCAGAATCGCCCATTCCATTTTTTTGTATTCTGGAAAAATGGTAGGAATTTTCTTAGAAAGTAACTTTTGAAAATCGAAATTCACAAAAAATCTTTTCTGGTAGATTTCGGGCCGCAGAAGTCACTTCTAACCTTATTCTTTCTATAAATCCAACCGTTTTTCTAGAATCGCCCATTGAGATATCGCAATTTTGAAAAATTTCAAAAAATTCGAATTTCACACCGAATTTTTCCAAAATATTGTTCCGTCGAATTTTCTTTTAATTTCTGTTAGATGTCAATACCATCTGCTCACTTTTCTATAACAAATTTAATTCAATCCTTGACAGCTATGTCCCGAAAACTCACCGTCGTCGTAATTCTTATATGTTACATAAGATTCTCGCATTTAATCTACATAACTACATATCGGAATAACAACACGGATTTTTGAGTGGTCGTTCTAAGGTAACAAATTTATGTTGTTTCACTCAGTATGTTTCGAATAGTTTCGACAATAAGGAGCAAGTTGACGTAATCTTCACTGATTTTTCCAAAGCTTTTGATAAGCTTAACCATGACATTCTGCTGATGAAGCTTCATAATTACAGTTTATCTCGTCACTTAGTAAAATTAGTTCATGGATTTGAATCTGGTAAATTACCCGTTTCTTTGGATGTTCCCCAAGGCTCAGTCCTAGGTCCGTGTTTCTTCGTAATCTTTATTGATGATATTATTAGGAACTTAAATTCTGAGGTATTGGTATATGCTGATGACCTGAAGATTTCTAAAGGCGTTTCTAATACAACTGACTGTGCTGAATTGCAAAAGGATATTGATAGCTTCCTTACTTGGAGTACATCTCACTACTTGCCAGTAAATTTTCACAAATGTCGTATCATGTCAATGACGAACCAAAATCATAGAATAATGTACGATTGTCAAGAGTTGAGTCCTGTTGCGACCTAGGGATTACTTTTGACTACAAATTAACATTCGCTGATCATATTGGCAACATAGCTTCGAAAGCTTATAAGTGTCTTGGTTTTATTATTCGATCGAGTGGTTGTTTCAAAAACACAGACACGCAAAGTCTTATACTTTTCTTTCGCGAAGTGGAAGTTGGGATATGCAAGTAATGTGTAGGCCTCTTCTGCTCAAACCCACACTTTAGCTCTCCAAAAAATCCAGAGATGTTTTCTAAAATTCTTGGAGTTCAAAGTTGATGGCAAGTATCCTGTGAGAGGGACACCTGACTCAGATCTTTTACAAAGATTTAGTTTTGTTGACTTCAAAGCGAGACGTGATAAAGCCTCACTTTTCTTTCTTAAGAAAATCATTAGGAATGATATTGACTGCCCATCGATTCTGGGTCAATTTTGCTTTGGTGTACCTAAAGCTTCTGCTAGGTCGCCCATTTATGCAATGTGTTCGGAGTATTACAAGCAGCAAGACGCTTTTGATTTACTCAGATAAGATTCATCTTCAGTTGTCCAATCTCTTTAACTGGTAGCAGTAATTATAGCTGCCGATTAGTTGGACAACTGTTTAAACTGTACTTTTCTTATATATTTTACCATTCTGTTTGTTCTTTTATGTTGATCTATAAATAGGCTAAACGCCTGTTAATCAACTAATCAATAATAATAATAATAATAATAATTTCTTGAACCATTGACGACAAGACCGTTTTAATCCATAGATTGCTCTTTTCAGCAAATAAATATCATCCTTATTAGTTTCAAATCCTGGAGCTTGTTCGATATAAACTTCTTCTTCTAGATTGCCATTTATGTAAGCCATCGTCACGTCGCGCTGGTAAAAATTTAAATTAAATTCTGCAGCAAGTGCGATCAGAATACCTATAGAGCTTTGTCTTGAATCTGGAGAAAAATTTCTTGAAAATCTACACCCGGTAGTTGACTGCAATCTTTTGCAACTGGTCGTGATTTTTTCATAATACATTTCCATCTGCTCTGAATTTTATTCTCAAAACCCATCTGCACCCAGTAACGTGTTGGTTTTCACCACTTTCTTGGAGTGATTCAAATTCAGCTATCATGGTTTCCTTCCATT